CTTATGTACATAATCTGGATAACTTCTTGACATTTTATTTAATAATTATTATTATGAATGTAGTAAAAACAGTGTAGCGAGTTTACATTTATATCGACAACGTTGCCCCAATAGAATTTTTCGTAACAGGAGAATGTTTCATAAACTTTAAGCAAATCTAAGACAGTTAAGGTATAGGAAAATATATATGTAACAATAACTCAGTAATATTAATAAACAAAAAATATTCAAACTAAAAATGTAAAATGAATAGTGACATTTAAAAGTACTGTCCAAATAGTTGTCCATTTCTTTCGATACATAATTCGCATCTTCGAATTACACTTCTATCTGCATTTAATTTAATGTTGTTTGGAATATTATTTATTGCAGTACTAATTCTGTCTTTCAACTGATCAATGTTATTTGGCAGTGTCAGATAAACTTCGTTTTTTACGAAACCCCAGAGAAATAAATACAATGGATCTGGGCATGTTGGCGTGGGCATGGGTCCTCTTATATCAATTCAGCGGTCTTGAAATGTAGCATTCAAATAATTTATGTTTATTTGGGTATTATGTGGCGGTGCATCGTCTTGTTGGAAAATAATATGGACATACTCATTATCTGTTAATTCTCCAAATACTCTTGTAACTGATCTCTCCAAAAAAATGTTATACCGTTCACCAGTTAAAGAACCATCAAAGAAGTATGGTCCTAATATTTTTGAACCTAGAACATCACACCACACGGCCATGATATATTGCGGTTAAATATGCTGTTTTTAGAAAAATTACTTTCGTCTGTCCATGAAATCATTTTTGGGATTATTATTAGCATTATTTAAGTACCAGCGACAAAACTGTATTCTTTTTTCAAAGTCATTTTCATGAATATGTTGAACCAAATTCACCTTGTAAGGTTTATGTTTATGTCAAATTTTATACACAACGTACTCGGTTAAATTATGATTCCCGGTTCATTCCCATATGGAAGTATTCGGATTTTCTTGCACACTTAATAGTAAATCTATATCTTGATTTTCGTTGCAAACGTATCCTAAACAAACTATTTTTTTTAGGGTTCCATACTGTCTTAGATTTGCTTCTAGTTTACTAAACGTTCTTCCATTAGGGGAAATACTATTAGGATAGCGTTGTAAAGTTGCAACACTGTTTTTTCTACATTCATAATAAACTTGCAGCATTAAAATTATTCATTTTGTTATAAGTTGAAATGTGACAGTAATTACAAACAAACCGATATGTGACAGATATGCAAAATTGTTTATCCAATGCAAAAAAATGTATACATCCCATTTAAAAAATATCGGTGACGTCACCATTCGCCTACAGTGTGACGAAAAAAAAAATGTGCATCAGTATAAAGAAAATAAAATCCCATTTAAATATATATATATATATATATATACTTTACAGGGTGTCCAAAAATATCCGAGTTACAGCTCGGAGCCTTTATAGTCAGACTGTATATGATAATAGTAAAAAAGTAAGCAACTTATAATACTAATCGACTGAGCAACAAGTTCGTGACTCGCATTGTATATTAAACGTTCAAGCACATGTGGAATTTAAATGATACTGCATAAATTAGTATTTAGATGTCCTAAGTCCGGTTTAAATATATCTAGAACGACTAAAAATATTACAAGAAATATTATGTCCCTCATATTACCTATTTTCGGAAAAATGTTGAAATGAAAAGCTCCCCTTTTATACATATACTATACGTCGTAACAACATTGGAAAGTAATTAAGTAATAAACACAAAAGGTGACGAATGCATCTACAAGTTTTTTGATGTGAGATTTTTTTTATGGAAAATCTGGTAACGTCACAGCACTCTTTAGAACATACGCAATAAAGTTTTATGAATTAATATCAATTTTTAGCACAAACTAGTTTTTGTGTGAAATTTAGAAAATTTAAACTTTAGTTTCCTTTAAAAAAATTTACGAGAATTGAGAATACTTGAAAATAGTAAAATAACATTAATTAAGGTTTTAAAAGTTACTAAAACTAAATATGAGGCTCATTTTCATTTTGAGGCTCAATTTTTGGAAAAATTGTGAAATGCTGGACACTTAAATTTTCTTGATATTGGCAACTTTCCGTCATCGAAGTCAACAGCTTTTCATGATTTTATGAGGAATTTTCCATTCCTGATGGATCGATGGTATGTCTGAAATGTCCTGTCATGCATTTTATTAAATATGTCAAGCTTGTTCTCGATGTAACGATACAACCCTCAGCAACTACTGTAGGTTTCCAATCACCGTGCCGTTTTAATGTGTTGATGTGTTTAAAAAGCGCCTGGTATATAATTCACTGTTTAGTAATTTCAAATTTTTGCACTTTAATTTTTAATTATTAATGAAAAACCGTAGACTATCAACATTTGGAGAGCGTATGTTTTATTATCGAAATATTTGCGGATTGAATACCAAATTAACTGATATTTATAATGCCATATCATCGAATGATTATATTTTGTGTCTCACTGAAATATGGCTCGGTGCAGGTGGAAGTGATAATTGCTGAATTAAGTTGTCAGCTATTCCATAAAATATATCTAATATAATTTCACGAAAAAAACAGCCTTCAGAAAAATCATAGCAGGCTGCCTAGTGGCATCATTATTGTGGTATTTCGTTCTGTAGATGCATTAACACCCTGTATATATAAAAACGTCGGAATTTTATGACGCGCTAAAATTTGGCAAGGATATTCCCAGATCAAATCTACACACCTTATTTTTCCTTAATATATATAATTTAAAAAATGTGTTCCCTTTAAACGTTCATAGCATAGAATGATTTAAAATGAGACGACGATGGGGATGTAATGATATTGTAAGTATTATCTGATTTAATAGTTGTTGAATCTACTGGAGGTAAACAAGCAGCACCTTCTGGAACGCCTCTTTCTATAAATTTAAGTTTTTTTGATGACGGATAGTTGTTCAAGTCGACGTAATCTTTATTTTCATTGGATATTTGTCTACTGTAATTAATGTTGTTTTCCTCCAGCATTATGCTTTCTTTTTTATTTGGATATCTAGTTTTAAGTGAAGGAAGGTTGTGTCGATTATTCGTATTATTATAATTTTCAAAATTTTTCCGTATTGGCGATATCGATTTACAGTTAATATTATGAAAATAACTACATGCTAGTAACGGTGCAGAAAAAGTTTGGGTTGACTTTACTGAAGTTTGTGCAACTAAAGGAGATTTATTAGTACTACTTAATGAATGGATTTGATTAGATCTTAAGTACATATTTGAAGATCTATGGGTTAAAACTGGTAACCTGTTTGATGAATTCAGAACTTCTGTTTGATGTAGATTTTGTTGATAAAATTGGTCATCGTATATTTTATTTTGTTGAATTTGCTTATCTGGTTTCATAATTTCATTTGTTTGATAATACTGACTTGGTGAAATGATAGATCGACACTCTTGTATTTGATTGTACGGAATGTAAACCATTGCATGATAATTTCTCGAAAAATCCTGTGGTGGTGGAGATAGTGGTCTATTATTTATATTTCTGGATTGAGGTAAATAATACTCATTATAATCAACTTCTATACCTATTACACCAGAATGTGCGTCTAAATTAGTATTACATGTTCCTTTCGTTATTTTGTTATTATAATCATTTTGATATGAATTATTCTCCTTAAAAAGTTGCGGAGAAATTGCCATTGTATTTATTCCTTCAGGTACAATTTTAGATATATTTTGGTTATTTTCCTTAAAACTGCTTTCGGAGTAATAAGGCCATACTAATTTGGTATTTGGAGTTGAATCTTCCAAATGGTTTTGAATTTGATTAAAAATTTCAGTGGAAGCACCGAATCTATGTTTAACTCCTTGAACACTGGGTCGCTTGTTAAAACCGTAATCATTATGCTCGTCATCTTCTTTTTTTAGTTGATCTTCACGGTAACACCTACAAAATATAAATTAAATTCAGTTAAGAAACTGTTATTGCACAAAGTTTCATACAATTAAAATAAATGTAACAGTAAAAGTGTAATAGTACGAATTTCGTTAATGGGTAAATGAAAAAACGGCATAAAATATTAATATCTTCTTGTATGTTTGATACAGTTACATGTAGACATCGGGAAAAATTGTACTTATTTAATATTACTCAAAATATTTTGATTGTAGTAAACCAATCAACACACATTCCTTTTTTTAATCACAAAACATTTTTATAGAAAGCGCTGTTGTAATGTATTGATTGGTTTTGCGCAAATGGTGATGGTGAAAGCTAGATAATTTATTATTGATTATCAAAGTAACGAATATTTTTCACTACCATTATGGCTTGCAAAAGCAGTTAGAGAATTATATTTATTTACTTAATACGTCAAGAGCTGGCAATGTTTGTTAATGGTTTAAGTAGGTAACTATTTATCTGAAGTTCTGCAGTACAAATAGTTGATGTTGATAAATACCATAACTACCAACTACCATAAATACCAATTTTAAATATATGCCAATATCTTAAAGAAAAAAGAGTAGAAAATATAGTTTATATTTTAGAGTAGAAATAATTAGCGATATTTATTTAGGCGGAACTTATAAAATAGTGTAATAGTATATTATTTAACGAGCGTATAATATAGCCATTATACGCGAGGCAAATACTATACTTTATCTACGACTACTCACTCATCATATTGTTTAAAAAAAATAATAATTTGTAGATTGGGAAACATTTATTTAAAATTAGAAATTTTTATAATGAATTATTTAAAATTAGCGTATGATTGGATTGCTGTTACTAAGGCAACTAAAGTTTATTTATTTATAAAATTAATTGTAAGGTTATGACAATTATTAAAATGTATGGTTGGAGGTGTTTTCGTAGTATTAATATTTACATCACTGGTCTTATTGGTAATGGCAAAATTATCAATAGTAAAATTGCTGACACCATCAGCATATGTAGATTGGACATGAATTTGCATTCGAAATACTGATAGAATTTGGATTGATTTGGTGCAAAATTTTATTGGCGGCATCCATTTTATTTTATTTTAGAGTCAGCAATATAACCTTCAGCCACAGAGGCTGACATCCATCCCCCATGGCGTTTAAGGGCAGTCATATTGGCCCCTCCATCAGCATACAAAGTGGCAGAAGATCGTCGAAGGCAATGTCCTGTGTATTTTACTGGATCCGGTAGTTTCAAAAATTCTGCTATTTCTTTACCCATTCTTCCAAATTTATTTATACCAATAACTTGTTTTGTGCATTTCCCATTTTGAAAATTTAGGAAGAAAGAACTTGATACATCCGATGGTCTGAGCTCTGAATATTTTTTGACGATATTATAAAAATCTCCGGTAACAGTAAAATTTCTGGGAACTTTTGTCTTCGTAATTGGAACCGATACGTTTATGCAACCTTCAAAAAATTGCAGATCCTTTGTTTTCATTTCATATAACTCATTTGAGCGGCAAGCTCCCATCACTCCCATTATTAATGCAACCTATAAGAACAAAAAACAAAAAACCTTAGTATTATTTAGTTAAATTCTAACTTATATTTTTACCTTCGTGGCTAGGTATTTAGTATCCGGTGCTTCAGTTATAAATTTGTATATTTCATCTCCAGTAAATGCCTTTGATTTCTTGGGTTGGTAGCCTTCTGACTGCCTTTTTAATAAAGCTCGAACTTTTGCGTAAGATTCTATATTCATATTATGTTTAAGGTTAAGTGTGCTCTTAAGCATGGAATAATGGCTCCACAATGTAGACGATTTACATTTTTTTGTCAATTCCTTGAAATATACCAACAAAGTGTCTTCGGAAAACGAATTTGTGCCAATTTTTAGTCGCCAGTCCATAAAGCTGTTATATACAATTGTGTAATTTTTTCGTGATTTCTCTGGAAGTAATTCCAATGATGCTAATTTTGCGGCTTCACGAATTTCAGGAGGGGTGCATCGAATTTCATTTTCACTGTCAGAATTGATGGTTAAACACAATTTACATTAACAACTGAAAACTGCAAAATTACTGCAAAAGTCAAAAATGTTTTATTTTGCGAAGTGTTGTCAAATCAATTACATTAGTTACCATAGTACCAACAATTCAAGCAAGCTCGATTCTATTTTGTAGCGCGGTCAGAAGCTATAAGATACGTATAAAAATTCATATTCCACACCTGTGGAATATGAGACTCATATTCCACGGGTGTGTAATATGAGTTACATTATGTACTTACTATCACAATTATAAAGCGTCTATTATTAAATAGTCAACACAATAACAAATACCAACTTAACTTTCAAAAACATCATAAATGGCATCGATTATTTTCTCTAACTCGAATGGATAGTGTTCTGATGTGTCAATTCGATCATTTCAATGGCCACAAAAGTGTGCCTCAATTCTGTACCTAAGACTAAGCTGGCTGGTGTTCTTCCGGTAGTCTGATAGGCTAACAGGAAAAGAAGCACATGTTGGTCCCAGTCGGTTTGATGTTCATTGACGACTATTCTTAAGTGATTTGTGAACTCTTTGTAATACATTCGATTAAAAATTTCGCCCTTGAACCGAATGCAGTTCTCTTGGAACACCGAATATGCAGAATATATTTTCAATGAGAACTTCTGCTACCGTCACTGTCTCTTGGTTGGAGATGGGATATATAGTTCTGGCCATTTACTGATGTAATCCATCGCTACCAGTAGGTAATGATTTCCAAATTCTATCTCCAAAAACGGTTTGACGACGTCTACGACAATTCTCTGGAAGGGAGCTCTAATGTTGTGCTGTTTCATCTAACCTCGGCTTCTAGTTCTAGGCCTCTTGCTGCTAAAGTAGTCAGCGCACCGGCGACACAAATCTTCTATATTTGCTCGGCTTCCTAGTCAGTAGAACCTTCCTCTAATTTATTTAAAGTCTTGTTTATGCCGAAGTATCCTCCACCTGCTTCACTGGGCTTTTCTTAGCACTTCATTGACTCTATTCCTTGGAAGTACGACCTCCTTTCATACTTCTTAGTCTGTCATATAAACTTTCTCACTGCCTCTTTAGTAACTTAAATGGAAATTCTATATTACCCAGTAATTTTTTAACGTTGATGATTTGTCCGATATTTCTGTCCATGTTGGTCTCATGTTCTTTTCAATTATTAATCCATTGCAGACTGTCATCGTTCCGTTTGTCTTCACTAAGTTTTTTAGTTTCCCAATCTCCATCAGTTACAATTGCTGTTCTTCGGCAAATTCCCAAATTCTTTTGTCTCTGATCTGTTGCAGGACACGGTCTTCTGGATACTGTATCTGCGTTACCACCAAGTCATGCTCTATGTTCAATAGTGAAGACAAACGCTTGTAAAATTTGTAACCAACAAGCTCTCTGATCTTCTGGATTCTTAAAGTAGAATAACCATTTCAAAGAGGCATGATCTGTTCTCAGCGTGAAGTATTATCCATAGAGATACATCCAGCCAGTTTCCTACAGCTTCAGTTTTCCTTGGATCAATCTTATCATCATTCTGCTGATTTCTTTAGTGCATTTATTCCGTTTCTTTGCTTCTTTAGCACGACTTATTATTGGTAGTTTCCTAAATTCGTGGCAGGCATATACGGCATGAGCACTGTTGCAATAAGCACAATTCCCATGGGGAAACTTGTTTGGTTCAGATGTAGTTAATAATACTACTTCTTGTCCGATCCGATCCAGTATATTAAGAATGTTTGACTATTATATCTAAGGTTTGACATCTGCTTTCGAGAAGTTTTAGATATTCTTCAAAAGTTGGCATTTCATTCAGTTTGCCTGGAGGCCTATTATCTTTTCTTCCCAGACCATTGTTGTTTGAATCTCCAATTTTGAATTTAACAGATAGATGATTAAAGTATTCCAACTGTGGACAGATTCATTTAAAGTTTCTGAAGACGCGATTTGGTTTCTTGTAGTATCTATAAATTTTGTTATTAATATGTGGTTTTCCTTAAAAATACTTATGAGTTCAAATAATGCCTTGACATGTGTGTTAATTTAAGTCTTTTCGAATCTTCTTTGCAGTAAGTTTCATACTTTGGGTAATTTTCTTCTGTGCACTGTAACGCTTGAATTACTTGAACAGCTTATATGTTTCCTACTCCAATTTACCATTAACTAATTTTTTATAAACATTTTTATGCAAAAAACGCAATTTTTGCATAAAATTAGTGGGGGCAGTGGATATGTAGGTATACAATTTTGAATATTGTTAAGTTATAGATTAATATTATTGTAAGTGGTAATACATAATAAAGAATACCAATACACGGAATCACAATGATGTGGAACCTGTGGACATTCCTTGTTTTGTTGTTATGTTGATTTGGAATAAAAACAGTTATCAATTTTTGTTGTTGTTACCCTGGCATCACTCAGCGGTTGCTTTTGGGCGTGGGAAGTAGTTTTATTATGGTTACTAATTGGGGTTGAGGCGCCAAGTAATTTTATTTAAATGAATAGCTTGTAAAGCCCAGGGAAGACATAAAATTACTAAAATTATTTTCCCTGTATAAGTGATCCAGCAAATAAGAATGCAGAAAAAAATAATTAAGAGTTAATAATACAAGATTATTTTCAATATAAAAGTTATAAGAATGAGGTAGTAGAAAATATATGTATAGTATTTTCTGATGAATACACAAACGGGAATATAAAAAAAACAACTTAAGTAAAACCTGGCTCTTGCAAGAGGTAAGCAGACTAGGAGCGTGGAGGTGTATAATAACAAGAAAAAAAAAGGAACTCACACTCCGAGTCTACGAACAAATAATACAACAATCATCAACATAAAAACAAAAATGTGATATATCAGATCTGAACTTTGTGTAGATCATTTCTCGTTGCCTGCGGTATAAAATTCACCACGCGATAATGAAATATGTAACCTTAGTAATGGATAAACACTTCAAAATAAGAGATATATGGCATTTAAAAATAAAAACAGTATTTTAACTGAGCTAGGTACGTAATAGGGTACTTATCGAGGTCCTCGGCCTGGCTTCCTGGTGAATCCTGCCTGCCCGGTACTCGAATACTTCCCGTGACGTCAGATTCACAATTGTGGCGTCGGTAAAAAGCAATTCCGGGTTGAATCTCAAAATGTCGGCGATAAACAAATTGTTCCTCGATTAACAAAGGAAATGCCAGAGAACAAAACGCCTGCACGAGAGAGAAAAACTTATGTAGCTAATATTAACAATAATTCAAAGATGAAGCCAGTAAAATGTGTACAAAACAAAAAAGTTACGAACCTTCCACACAGGATCCTTATTGTAGAAAGGTGTTTTTCCTTTAACACTAAAGAATGTGCACTAAACAAAATCCGCCCAAAGCGAAACCAAATGTAACTGCAACTACTACCATAAGTTACATTTTCAACTACATGTGCACACCTTGGTAAACTTCTAACACTAAATTCTACAATTTCTCTCTCCTCATGCGTAAATTTAAAGTTGAACAAAAACTATGCCGATAAGACGGCTAGTTCCGCGACGCGAGAAAACGTTTCAAATTTGAATCGAAATAAATACAACTTAAAACCGACTTTTAAATCTACGTATCATCGTTTCTGCATTTTTTGACATTTACGCGAAATCTTGACATCAAACGTGATTTCGAAAGTTTTCTTACTAAATGTACTTTATGTATTTTTCTGTTCCAAAAAATGTATTTATTTAGGTGTGCTTGTTAAGGAAATTTTATTACATTTTGTATATATCGTCACTTATATTAAACTATACTGTAACTAATAATATTCAAAATTGTATATCTACATATCCACTGACCCACATCTCCCTACCTTCCCCCACTACTTGACCGCGTATACGCACTCGGCTGTTTTTGAGCATGTTTGGAGGAATTTTTCACCTATTTCTCATCATTTTATCGGAAAATTAGAATATACATTTTATGGTATTATACTTCTACTTTTAAAATCCGGCTGAAAAATTAAAATAGGACCACCATCAACGCACCCAGAAGTTTTGCAAAATAGTACTACAAAAAATTCAAATTGCAGTTGTGCCGAAACTAATGGTCCAACAGAGCTTGCTTTATGCACATTTAAAGTGCATGTAATTCACTACTTTTGAGCACAGGGTCAACTGTATAACTTAGAAAATGGCGGAGTAATAAATTTTTAATAAAACGCTAAATTTTCCTATTTTTCCGAGTTTTCTTCGTTTCTAATAATCCGATCGGATCGATAGACCTCTCGCTTTATTCGTATTTCGATTCTGTACAAATTGTCTCTTTATAGCATTCAGATTGCTTCATTAGTTTAGGTTTTATAAGCAAAAAACTAAAAAAAATGGAATAGGAAATACATATATAAGCATATCGTCCCTATTATCACGCACAGGCGTATGTGTATATCCATTTCTTGGATTATACGCCCCTACGTGATAAGAGGGACGATATATCTATGCGGAGTGTCTTTTACATGCTGGCACAGTCCGTTTGCTACTAGTATTTTTGTCACAAACAAAACCTCTATTGATTGGCCTAACCATATTCGTGGGAGTTTTTTGGTACCGGTTCAAGATCTTTTTGAATGTTGTCTATAGATACAGTGCTTGTAGTAAGAACTCAAATTTATTTTTCTATATCTGTCTGGTACATAAAACAACTAAATATGTATACTAATAATTATGTAGTGAGATAGCTTGTCTACAATATTCGACGGATTGATTGACACTGTAAAAAAAACATTACCTAAAATAGAGTTATCCAAATTTAATGGAACATACTAGACATGGATGGAATTTCGCGATATGTTTGAATCGTTGATTCATGATAATGCCCAAATTAGTCATATTAAAAAATTCCATTATTTAGGCGCAACATTAGTGGCGCTTCAAGTAATTCAATCGCTATAATTTACTGCCAATAATT